TTTGGAAGTATTTATAATTTTGAGAATTTTGAATGTTCAGGTGAAAACTTGGACAAAAGTTGGTCAGTCTACAATCTGGTACATAAAGGCCGAAATATAACCGTTTTTTGTTTTGTTTTGTTTTTTTGTTTAATTGCAAAATTAGTTTTTTGAGTGTATTTTTCCTAGAAAAACCGTTGAGATCACAAGTTAGGTTATCAATATGTCGGGCATTAGGCATGAGATAAAAAATTAATTTTAATAATAATAATTTATAATACGGGTTATGTATGGATCGGTTCGGGTATTATTCATTATAAGACAACACTTTCATCAATCGCTTATACCGGAAGCCCTCGTCATATAAGACACAGTCTTTATAGAGTTGTAGGGCTGACTCCAACACCACACCATTTGCCTCCGCGAACATCTCAATACCTCAATGTAATAAAAGCAACAAAACCGGTGGTTATATATCACACACAACGGTATCATTCATATAATAAGCATATAATCTAGATTGAATTAATTAAAACCATAGTAATAATAGTAAAAACAAAATTCTGTATTTTAAAAAATTAATTCTAACTCAATTAAACAAGGTGAATTTAATAAACAATCATAACTAACCTCCATTCTTTCGGACACCATTTCTCAAGTCCATGCAGACAGCCTTCGGGGGCAACACTTTGCCCTCCAGGGAGGCGTCAATTGTTATGAGACAACAGGCAAACAATAATAGTAAATACATTTGGTATTATGTATCGGAAGTTAAAACAGTATAAACTAACGGTTGGCCAAACACTACACTAACTTTATAATAAACTACTGAAATATGGGATATGTTTTATATCATTACTTATATACTTTCTTATAGGAACCTAAGGGGCGGGTATGAGAGTAAGTGAGTGAGTGTGAGAGAGAACACGTAAATACCATATTTATGAATTTTAATAAAGAAAGTATATTTTGAAAACTATAATTTAATTTATATTATTCGATATATTAATATACAGTACATTTTAAGAGCAAATGCGCTTAACCATTGCCTACAGAATGCTCTTGATACATTTATGATATTGGGCATAATCACTATTTAACTGCAACGTTGTCAGTAAAATAAATATATTTTATATTCAAATAATCTAATATTGTATTGCATGATGGATATGAAAAATAGTATAATGTACTGTTTATTGTCGACAAAGTGTATTAGTCTATTGTATTTTAACACACATTTATTATATTTTGATTTAAAAAACATCAATTCACTTTGGAGAATTAGATACTGTACCTGGTATTGATCCGATTGGGAATTCATCCATGTATTATATTTATTTCGCATTAACTATCATAATAATTTTGGTTTATCCCAAAGTCCGTTAAATAAATAATTTTAATTTTAATTTTAATTTCTCTCTCTCTCTCTCTCTNTAGTTTTCAAAATATACTTTCTTTATTAAAATTCATAAATATGGTATTTACGTGTTCTCTCTCTATCTATCTATCTATCTATCTATCTATCTATCTATCCCTCGCTTTTTGTAAAAACATATAAAATCAAAGGATTCCGCCTTTTCTCTCATGTATTAAACGAAACACTTATTGAATATAAATGATAATCAACTGGAAATTGAATTTAATATCCGCTTAACTTTAAAAAACATTAATTTTACATTACTGTTGATGACGATGGTAAATATCAATTGACTAAATATAGACGTGGTGTAATACTGTATGTACTGTATTAATAAATTAATTTAGACCCACATGTATTCTTTTAAATCAATGACCAACTTCTTTATTTAAGCAATAATAAAACACTCTAAATAATGTTATTTTTAGATCATATTCAATTTTTAATTTACATTTTTCCACTGATATGCGTGCATGGGAATTAATTAAATTTATTTAATTGACCTGTCATTAACCGACAATTATAAACAGCTTATCAATGATAACTTATCTAAAGTTTTCATTGATATTGGTTTAATATTTTTTAATCATATTGACACAAATTAACTTACAATTCTGCCAATTGCTGTGTCAATATTTTAACTAGGATGAATTTGAGTGAATTAATGTAAACAATTATAAATATCATTTTAATCATCTATTTATCAATAAATTTTCATCAATATTTAATAATCGTGTTATTAATTGACAAATTCATTAATATTAAAAAAATTATTTTTTAACTTTTATTTATTTAAACTTAAAATTATTTACTAAATACAGTCTATATTTTAAAAATTAACTATTCAGCAGGCAGCGTTAGTTAAAAATATGAATTTAAGATAAAATACTAAACTTTATTGTCATTATATATAAAAAATTATATTCATTTCTAACAAATGTTAAACAAGTGGTGAAATAAATAATTTACTATTTTCAGTTGTTATATAATTATTGATATTTAATATACATAGGTACAATAAATTTCCTAATACATGATGTACAGGTAAACTTTACGAATTGGTCACAACATCACAATTTAAAAATATTGGTAAATTACTTTTTTACACAATACAAAATATTATTTATCGATTAGTGATGTAAAGCTAATTATTTTCACATTAATAATATATATTATTAACTTCTTAAAAACAACTTTTAAACATCTGACAAATCATTATACTGCATATTTTTGCAATTCTGGTACATATATGGGGTTTATATGTGTATATAACTTATACCTGTATTTTCATAACCCTTACACTGAAATTCATTAGACTTTATTTTTAGTTACCAAAAAACATGACAAATTATAGTAGAGATTAAGGATGGGGGCAATAACACATATGTATAATACATGTGTATTATTCCATGTATTATTCATGTATTATACATGGCAAAATTTGTCATACATACAACATGGCGTCAAATATTGACATTATTTGCTAAAAATCGACAAAATTTGCCAAAACATGTTATTTTATAAATTTATTTTTAGATTATAAAAAAGTAAATTATTGTTTTAAGGAATAATGATGCAAAAGCAATTATATCTACGAAAATATCCATTCTTTTAGTATAGAGATAAGATCATAGATTAACATTGCCTATAGGTTAGCATTATTATTTGCTAAAAATCGACAAAATTTGCCAAAACATGTTATTTTATAAATTTATTTTTAGATTATAAAAAAGTAAATCATTTTTTTAAAGAATAATGATGCAAAAGCAATTATATCTACGAAAATATCCATTCTTTTAGTATAGAGATAAGATCATAGATTAACATTGCCTATAGGTTAGCATTAGCTTCTATTCTTAAGCATTGTATGTAATAATACACGAATAATACATCATATACATGTAATAATACATGAATAATACATGGCAAAAATTTTTTCATGTATTATCCCATCCCTAATCCAAACTAATGCTTTCTCCACTTTTTGAACTCATTTCCAGTCAATTGTCAAATAGTTTCACTCTTTCAAGGCTTTCAACATTAGTTGATATCGTTATGAATGAGTCATCAATTGGATTGACTGCA